CCACTACCACTACCAGTACCACTCCTCCTCGGACCACCAGCACTGCCGCTACCACAACAACAACTACTAGTACACTACTACCACCACCACCACTCAAACTGCGACTGCGACTGCGACGACGGCTACGAGTAGTAGTCCTGCACCACGAGCTGTAACAATGGCAACACTGGCGGCTTAAGAACCACATGCTATCTCAACCAAACATTGTCGCAGCTGCGATCACGACCGCAACAAGCCGCCGCCCCTACCGCTCGTCGAGCACGAAAGTAAGACATAGCGACGAAAAGCCGCTGCGCCACTCCTGCTGCGCTAGTGCTAAACCATGCTAAACCTTGCATCCAGGCTGCTTTGAAGATCTGGACTGATCGTCACCTCTCTCATCTCCTCCAACATCGCCAGGGCCCGCTCCACCTCTGAGCGACAAATGTCGCAAAGTCCGAGTTGAACAGGCCTGGCCGCCCTGTCCGCCCTAGCCTGGCCTGTTTGTCTTTGGCCATGGCACTGAGGACCCAGTTGTACTTGACAATGTCTAACCTTGCCCAGCAACGGTCATGCTGCCGCATGCACGGTGTCGTGACACTCCGCTGAGTGCAAGACTCGAGGCCCAAATCTTTCATCTCCCTACCGACTCAGTCTTCACGCAAGTCTGAACAAGTGCACACATCTGGCCTCATCAGGCGAAGTGCTCTCCGGAACTGGCCATCCAGCGCTAACGCCTGTCTGCTCGTAGGAAGCTGCAAGGACAAAATGTCGTCAACAATATCAACTGTCGTCATTCAGAACAAGTCGTCATGTTCCAGGTAAAGTGTTGCCGAAGGGCAACAGCAGGCAAAAGGCCTTGAGAATGACTAAGAACTCCTGCTCGCTCCTCGGATCTGGCTACTATGCGCTTCCTGGTATGCACTCTTGAGGTCGCAGTTAGCACACTTGTCTCACGGCTGACGGCAGCTTGGCGTCTGTAGATTCGGCACAGCTGTATCAACAATACGCAGCAGTTCTCGTCCACGGGTGTTCCGGAGGGTCTGAGAAAGCGAGGGGTAGTACCTGCGACCGAATCGACTGCTTTGTGTAGGAACTTGTTGTCACATCCTTTGGGGAGCGTGCCGGGGTCCGGTAACTTTGCCGTCCTCCCGAAGATCGGAAAGTCCTGCAGGCAGAAAGGCTGAGAGCTTGTGGCCAACTTGTGGCAGCGGGCGACTCACTTTGGGAGATCAAACTTCAAACCATACCGCCTTCAACACATTCTGGCACAAGTCCACGCTGGCTGGCACTGCGCAATGCTATTTGGAAGCAGCAAGTGCTGCAAGTGCGAGCCGCGTTGCGAGCTGGGTTTCCAGGACTGCTTCTAGATGTCCCGAGAGGCGGGACATCTTCTGCCCTCGCCGCCCCCCGAAGCAAGTGCATGGGTTCAGCATCCTGAGCCATGCAGATTGTAGGCCCGCCACGTGTGAATCGCGCTTGGAGAAGCCAGCTTGTGCTGTCACAGGCGCTGCTCAACTTGAATTTCCATCCACTGTCCGCCGAGGCCAGAGGCCCAGGCGT